ACCGCAGAATCGCACCGTGTACTTCACCAACTGCATCAAGCGGGCCCCCAGCTCAGAAGAGAAGGGTGATCGGGGCACGACAGATGAGGATGGGGAGACAGGGGAGACATAAGGATGTGCAGGCTGGGCGGAGCAAGCGGAGGTTGAGGAGTTGGAGTGCGATCGACCGCCCGACGACGACGACGGCAGCGGCGGCGGCGACGACAGCGCCGTCGACGGCGGTGGCGACGACGGTGGCGACGACGAGGACGACGAGGACGACGGCGACGACGAAGACGACGACGGCCCTCGGCCCGACGGCGGCGGCGGCGACGGCGACGGCGACGATGACGGGGCAGCCTAGATCGTGAACGGTAACTTGCCGTACAAGGGCAGCGTCGGGTTCCGCAAGCCCTGGGCGAACTTGGACTCGGACTCCTGGCGCGAAAATCCCTCACCCCCCCGCCCTCTTGTCTTTTGTAGAGCCCAGCCACCTGTTCCGCCCCCGCTCTTGCCAGAAAGGAGGGAGGGATAAGGGGGGGGAAGGCCGGCCTTCGGGGGTGCTCTCGAGCGGCTCCAAGGAGGGGCCCGAGTGGCTTCCATGAGGCCACGTGCGGGTCCCGTATCGACCCTCCTCTGCCCCGCTTGGTTTTAGTGATTCTCTCGAGGCACCCCTGCCCGCGGCGGCGGCATTGCCTGCGCCGCCTGCGCCTGCGGCGCCCATCGCCGACGGCCCACCCCCAGCGGCCGCGGCCGCGGCTGCCGCTGACCAGCAGCCCGACCAGCCCCCAGCGGCCGCAGCAGCAGTGGCTGCCGCTGACCAGCCTGACCGTCGGCCCGACCAGCCCCCAGCGGTCTGGCCAGCGGAGTGGGTTCAGGAGCTGGCCGCCAGGCTGGCCGAGCTCAGGGCGAGGGCCGCGGCGAGGGCGGAGGCTGCCGCTGCCGCTGGCCAGGGCCAGGACGAGGACGAGTCCGACGGGTCGAGCGGGTCGATCAGCTCTGATTAGTTGAGGTGCGCACACTACAGGCCGTAGCAGCGAGGCAGCAGGCAGGCAGGCAGCGAAGCAGCGACCGCGGCGCCGCGTGCGCGCGGACGCGCTTTCGTACATAGTTGATCTCCACTCACTCTCTCCGTCCCTCCCCGCTTCCTCAGGCCTCTATGTCATCTCCGCCTCCGTGCTTCATCCTTCCCTCCATCCCTTCAGGTTCCGCTGCCATCCCTTCAGGCTGACTGCCTGCCTGCCAGAGGCCCCGCCCGCCAGCGCCTCCACGTTCGCGGGTAGCTGCGTGCGCGTTGAGCGCGCCCGACGCGTCGGCGGTAGTATGAGTTTTGTTTACATGTGTACTTTCTCTGCTGGCGCGAGCACACTATTCGTCCCGCCTCGCTTGGCTCGCGAACTGGCACAGCGAAACGAGCCCAGTGTGCCAGGGTGTGGGGAGGAGGGTGGTGAGAGAGAGAGAGAGAGAGAGAGAGAGAGAGAGAGAGAGAGAGAGAGAGAGAGAGAGAGAGAGAGAGAGAGAGAGAGAGAGAGAGAGAGAAGAGAGAGAGAGAGAGAGAGAGAGAGAGAGAGAGAGAGAGAGAGAGAGAGAGAGAGAGAGAGAGAGAGAGAGAGGGGAGGGAGGATAGTATATGTGTGTTTGAGTTCAAGGTGAGAAGTACAAGGAGGAAGGATCTGCCACGAGCCAGGCTGCCCATCTTTAGTGTCCAAGCAGGTCGCGTAGAGGTCCTGAGGCGGCGTGGCGCTGGGGCCTACTCGGGCTGGCCACTTGCTCCACCCCAGGGCCCCTGAGCGACCCGATCGGACGCGAAAGGTGGACGCGGACGCTCCAATTTCACCCCGATGTGCCTCGCTGCCCTCACTGCCGCTGCCACCGCTGCCCCCCTCCACCCGCGCTGCAGGCGGCAAGGGCCACACCGCCGCCGACAACGTCCTTGTCATGTCCGCGGAGATGACGCAGCTGCACACGGCCCTGCAGGCAGAGGCTCCTGGCGGCTGGGTCGGGGGTCGGTCGGAACGACGACGCCCTTGCCTTCCCTGGCCCCGCCCCATCCTTCTGACCTCTCTCCCTCTCTCTCTCTCTCTCTCTATCTTTCTTGTTCTTTCTCTCTCTCTCTCTCTCTCTCTCTCTCTATCTCTCTCCCTCTCTCTCTCTCTCTCTCTCCCTCCCCTCTCTATGTCTCTCTCTCTCTCTCTCTCTCTCTCTCTCCCCCTCTCTCTCTCTCTCTCTCTCTCTCTCTCTCTCTCTCTCTCTCTCTCTCTCTCTCTCTCTCTCTCCCACCCCCCATCTCCCCTCCACCGCTCCCCACTCCACCCCATCAATAGTCGGCGGGGGGAATGTCCTCCTGAGGACAGACTTTGGCAGGTGATGTGGTTCGCTCACGGCTGGCCGCCCATCGGTCGCGGGACTTTGGTTTCCTTGCCAAAGGGAAGCGGCTTCCTTATCCAAGGCCCCCTTCCCCCCTCCACCCTCCCCCCCCACCCTCCCCCTCCCCCCGCCTCACCCACCGTGCAGGGAGAGCCAGGGAGAGCAGTGACGGGCCTCCGATCCAGGCTGATAAGAAGAAGGGTTCTTCCGCATTCAGCCACGGCTTCAGCAGTTACGAGGCGCGCCACCCTGGTAAGACAGGCGCCATCCTTCGCAAACAGGCACCGAGGGATTGAGACGGGGCGGGGGGGGGGGAGATCTGTATACGTCGTAGAGCCTGTCGGGGTGAAGCAAGCAAGGTCGAGCCACAGCTTCGAGTCGAAGCGAGCGAGGCTCGGCAGTGTCTGCTTCTTTCCCGACTGGCTGTACGACAAGCGGCCGCCACGGCTTGCTTCCCACCTTCCCATCCCATCTATGAGCGCCCTGGGCACTCATAGGGCCCCTGAGGCCCCTGGGGCGCGCTGGGGGTTTGCCACCGATAGTTCCAGGCCCGTAAAACTCGCAGTTTTCCGAAGCGGTCCGAAACGGTCCCGAGCCCCGAACCCTTCTAAGAAGCCCCACCCTTGCCATCTGCCATCGGTGCTTGTGAGTTTGCCCCCCCCGCCCCAGTTTGACACGGACTACCTGCTGCCGTGGAACTCCCCCCAGCCGTTCTTCCGAGGAACCACGCGGGTGTTCGAGAGGCACGAGCTCAACCAGAGGAAACAGAGGGCCACGCGGCGCTACTACAAGAAACTGATCTTGAAGGGCGGCATCTGTTGGTCGGACAGGGCGGGTGATATCGTGTGCGTGCCCACCTCCCTCGACTCGTCGGAGTGGGTCCTGAAGGTGCTCGGCGGGGCTACCCTGCTGGACGCTGCCTACGAGGCCATCGCAGAAGCCCCAAAGAACGAGCAGGTGATCGAAATGGTGAATAACTTGGCGCAATGGGCTCCCAATGGGTCTCTGAAGCTAAGTTCAGGATGACGAGGTAGGGCGGGCTGGGGTGGTGGTCCTCCATCCGTGTAACTGCCGAATGCGATTTAATCGAGTGTGCGAAGCACCAAGATTAGAGCCCGAGCCCCATTGTGAAACCCCCCCCTCCCCCTCCCCCTCCTCATCCCCTTCTTCGTCTTCTTCTTCATCCTCCGACTCCTCATCTCCCTCCTATTCCTCCCCACCTCCTCTTCTTATTCCTCCTCCTCATCATCATCCTCCCCCCTCCTCCCAGAGTCACTCCCCACTGCCCCGCTCCGCCCAGGTGCCCCGCATCGCGATCGTCAATCCTGCTGCCCCCCCTGACGCACTCTACTGGGTGCGGGTGCAGTGCAACAAAATGGTTTCCATCGGCAGCACCACGAGCTTCGCCGAGAAGCTGGACATCGTGCCCGTCGTCAAAGCCGACTGGCAGAAGAAGTGCGCCGCCATGGCCGAAGAGCGCAAGCGGAAGAGGGAGGAGGAGAAGGAGGAGGCTGAGGGGGATGAGGACGACGACGAGGAGGGCGAGGGCGAGGACAACGGGGGCGCCGAACTCGACGACGACGCCGACGCCGAGGGGGAACAAGAAGGCGCGGCGGCTCAAGCGGCGCCGCCGCAACCTTCCGTCCGGAGGAGGGATGAGGAGGAGGATGGGGAGGATGAGGGAGGAGTCCCAGGGAGGAGAAGGGATGTGGGGGAGGAGGAGGAGGGAGGAGGCGGAGGAGGAGGAGGGAGGAAGAGGATGAGGGGGAGGAGGAGGAGGAGGAGGAGGAGGAGGAGGAGGAGGAGGGGCACTGACCCCCCAGGCACGAAGAGGGACCAAAAGGGCTTCTATGCGGAGTGCACTAAGTTCATCATGGATAACTACGGCGACGTGTTCGCCGACAGGGAGGAGTTCAAGAAGGCGAACAAGTTCCGTATGACGTGCACGGAGGCTGGCATTTACGAGAGCCTGACCGAGTGGTGGGGCGACCACGTTGCATTCGAGGATACTTCTCTGAAGCCGACACCTCAGCCAGCTGCTCGATTATCGGGCTTCGTGCTTCGGTCGGTCGGCCTCGGTTGCTTGGTCGGTCGACGGTCGGTCTTTCACGGACTTTCGGGCCCTTCTTCGGGGTGGGATTCGTGCGATCGATCGCCGAGCGAGTCGCGATCCGCGACCCCCTTCAGTTCAGGTCGCCCCAAGTGCTCGGCGTGTTCAACACCATCGCGAGTCACTTCATGAAGCCTGAGTACGGGACTGCTTTTGGCGATGCGCTGCTAGAGGCTCTCAAGTATGCAGTCCCAACGGCCTTCGAGCGGGACGATGACGGTGCCGAGGACATGTCGCGGCACGTGGACAAGGACGTGCAGTGGTTGTTCAAGACCCCGAAGGATTGCAAAGTTCTCACGAAGCTGTTCACCCCCATGGCCACGTCCAAAGTGTTCCAGGAGGCTGGGTTGGCATCGCCATTAAAGCGGAGGCTGCGGGCCAAAACAGCCAGCGACCCGCCGCCGCCGCCCGCTAAGGGCAAGGAGGGCAAGGGCAAGAAGCCTCCAATGAAGAAGAAGAAAGCTCCCGAAGCAGGCGGCATCAAAAGGAACGCGAAGGGGGGGCGCCAGTCACTCTACCTCGACGACGTTATCAATTGCATCTTTTACTCCGTGAAGGAGGTGGAGCAGAACGACAGGGACCTCGCTGAGATGGGCAGGATGCTGCGGTACGGAGTACGCCTGGGAATCAAGGACTCGGGGGGGGCCGCTGGTGATGGCGTTCTTGGACGATGAGAAGAAGCTGGTTTATGAGAAGATCGCCAAATGGGGTCAGCTCCGTCCTCGCATAATTTCCTACTTGCGGGCGCGTCACGGTCTGAAGCCTGAGGCCACCGTCGAGGTCGACGACGACGGCGCTGAGGTCGGCCTTGCGGCGAAGGACACAGCGGAGGAGATCTCGCAGTTCACAGCGGCTGTCCTGGCGATCCTCGGGGTCGACACGAAGGCGAGGAGGAAGCTCACGACAACGCTGAAGGAGTTCTTGGCTGACAACCCTTTGACGAGCGACATGGATGTGGAGGACATTTCGACCGTGCATGTCGCGCACACGCGCATGAACGCGGCCATGATCAAGACTACCAAGTACAGCTTCGACCTGAATGGGGGACGGGCAGACCGTCGCCGCGGGCCTCGCCGAGACGGTGATCAAGATTGTCGACAGCTGCGTACCATCTAACTTGTTCAGGCTTGCCAATCTGTTGATGAAGCTGGTCGTCGCCTGCCGTAAGAGTCCGACCGACGAGAAGACGAAGCAGCTTGAGGAGATGAAGAAGAAACGCCCCGATGTCCGCGAGTGGGTGCTGATCCTCGAGATGATCGACCCAGTGATTTCGGTATTTGCTGAGACTGTGTTTGAAGACGAAGCCACGCTGACCGCGTGGAGCCATGCTCGGCACTTGTACTCGCACATCATGGTGCAGAAGTTCTACAACCAGGTGTCCTCCAAGCTGACATCCAGTACTGCCCAGAAGTACTGCGCGGATGGACTCGATTTCGTCCATAAGCTCCATCAGTCTGGCGTCGGCTGTGGCGGGTCCAAGGAGCTCCTCGAGTCTTTCTTCTCCAAGTCGGAGGACTTGGCGGCGTCGTGGGCAAACGTGTTCAAGGTTGCGACCCGCCTCGGCCCGCACATCGTGGTGGATGTGGGCGAGTCTGTGTGGAGGCGGCTGTACAGGGCTCATTTCGACTTCTCCGATTCGATTCGGTTCGATTTCGATGGCCTCCGATTCCGATTCGATTCGACTTAGGATTTCGATGTGCGGTCCGATCTTTCATTGGAGGCATACTAGCCTGCCGATTTCCGCCGAGTCGACTTCTCCCGACTCAGCTGCCGATTTCTGCCGATCCGATTCGTCTCGATCGCCGATCCGACTTATCGATTCGATTCTGGGCTCTCCTGGTTGTACGTCGACCGATCGCCCCTCGTCGCCCCCTCCCTTTGCCTCCGCCTCCCTTCCCATTCCCGCCCCCTCCCCCCCGTCGGGGGCGGGGCTCGGGGGAAGGCACTCCCCCCCCCTCTCTCCTCCCCGCAGGCTGAAGCTAACGGCGGCAAGGAGCGCCTGCACGGCACTTAACAAGACAGAGCTTTGGAAGGCCGTGCAGGAGGAGGTGCCCCGTGATGACATCCCCGAGGCGGGGAGCGCCATGGCGAAACCCATGATGGCCCAGATCTTGGCCAACCACAGGGTCGAGAAGCAAAAGGCCAACCACGCCGAGAGGGTGCGGAAGTGGAATGACATGGTCCAGATTGCGCTGACCAAGGGCGTCGACGCCGTTGCCGTCCCAGACCAGGGGGGCGAAGTGCAGGTGTCGGACAAGACTGGCGCCAGCATCGACGCAGGTCTGGACTCTGCTGGCATCACCGTCATCAACGAGAGAACGTACTTCCAGCTGTTCAGGGGTCTCGAGAACAGCTCGTCGCTGCTGACACTGATGAAGGCTGAGCGCTTGTCCGACCATCTCAGCAAATGGTCTGTGTCCAGGTGGGTTGAGATCAAAACTGATTCGGCGCCGCAGCAGGGGGCCGAGGGGGAGGCCGTCGTGGCGCCCACAGCTTCAGCGACTCTAGCGGACAAGGCGCTCGATCACCTCGTCTGTCCAGAGTCCCAGATCACCGTGCCCAAGGGCGCGATCAAGCTCCTCCTGAACCTTCGTGATGCTCAGCCTTGTGATTTGCGCGAGTTCGAGCTCTGTTTCGGCGGGCGGACGGTGCTCGAGACAGGCACGCTTTCTCCTCCACTTCCTCCACCACCAACCCGAAGAGGAGGAGGAAGAGAAAAACGATGAGGAGGAGGACGGGGAGGAGGGAAGAGGTGAGGAGGAGGATGCGGATGAGGAGGAGGAGGGAGGATGAGGAGGAGGAGGAGGAGAAGGGATTTTATGACGATGGCACTGGCCTCAGGCGCGCGGGTCCGCGCGGGCGGGTACGTCAAGTCGGGCATGGTCACGATCGACGACATCAGCTTCCACGTCGTCACCATGCCGATGAGCAACTTCAGGGACATCCGCGGCGCTGCCAGTGCGCCCGCGTGGTCGGTCCCGACGTGCACTGAGAAGGCGCCGCCCACCCTTGATCTCAAGCAGCGCGAGGAGACGGTGCCGATCCCCCCTGAGCTGGGCATCGGCATCTCCGAGGCGAAGGTGCTGGCCTACAGCCTGACGGTGAATGCTGCGGCGTACGAGCAGCACATGTCGAGCGGCGACAGGTTGATGCCGCTGATCCGCCCGAAGTTCGACTGGGAGCATGTCGAAACGAAGACGGACAAGCTCAAGGACGCCGCTTTTGAGCCGCCGCGAGGATGAGGATGAGGATGAGGTGGAAAGCGGAGGGTGGAGGGTGAGACGGAGGATGAGGGGGGGGGGGGGGAGAGGAGGAGAGGGGATGGGGAGAGGAGGTTGAGGGAAGGGAATAGGGCGTAGCGAGCGGGGATGAGTAGGGGCAGAGGGGCGAGATAGGAGGCGGGATGGGCCAGAGATGTGTGGATGGGGTGGGGTGGGGTGGGGTGGGGGGTGATGGGGAGGGGGATGGGAGGAGGGAGTGACGGAAGGGGGGAGGGTGGATGGGGAGCAGACGGCGGGGGCCGCAGGGGGCAGGGGGCTTGCCCCCGCTCGGGCCTTCCGCCGAAGAAACAGCGGCGCACAGGGCGTCAACCACATCCTCGGCTGAGCAGGCAGCGGCTCGGCGGAGGGCGACGGGATTTGGCCCAGCCCGCTCCCTATGATCTGACCTCCTCCCCCTCCTCTTGCTGCTGCGGCTCCTCCTCCTCCTCCTCTTCCTCCTCCTTCTCCTTCTCCTCCTCCTCCTCCTCCCCTCTCCCCCCCTCTCTCTCGGGGGCAGGGCGGTTGATATGATACACAGAACAACAAGATATGCGCGAGCGGAAGCGAGGGCGGGCCAACTCCATATCATGTCCCCATGTCGCCATTTTTTGCTTCTAGACCCGACGCCTGGGCGTCGGCGGGCGACGCTGCTGTCCGTTCGGGAGGACTGCTGCGAGAGCTCGAGAAACAATCGATGGTTTCTTTTCTTGCTCGACGTCTCTCGCCCAGCCATTCGGGATCGTTGGTTCTTCAGGCTTGCGCCACACCGCCGACCCCTTGAACTGTGTAGAACACCAGGTTTCCGAAAGATCTTGGGGGCCTCTTGGGCCGTCTTGGACGCATCGGATGGAGGGATGGAGGGATGGAGGGATGGAGGGGGATCGTTGATTCTTCAGGCTCACGCCACACCGCCGACCCCTTGAACTGTGTAGAACACCAGGTTTCCGAAAGATCTTGGGGGCCTCTTGGGCCGTCTTGGACGCATCGGATGGAGGGGTGGAGGGATGGAGGGATGGAGGGATGGAGTTGATTTAGTGGTGCCGTCCTTGAAACCCAGTCGGGAAGTATGTCTAACGTGACAATATCTTGCACAATCGGAGACAGTAAACACCTTAACAACATAATTTTGGGGTACGGTGTTCTGGTAACATGATAGTTTTTGGGTGCGAGTTTTTGCCCCTCTTGTTTGCGCGACCGCTGCCGGTTTCAAGCCAAAATGGCCATGTGAAGTGATTTTGGGGCGGTCCCTTCACGGGGCATCGCCCTGTGAAGTGAAAAACGGGGTCCCTTCACAGAGCCCTGCGTGGGTCAGAGGTGTTCCCACCTGCGCTTCTCATGCGGGAGAGGCGAAGCTGCATGGGCCCGCGAGAAGAATGAACCCGCCGCTGCTAGGTCGAAGTCAAAACAAATGATTCTCCCCCGCCCGTCCGGCGGTGGCTCGCGGTGTGCCGCGGTGTCCGGTGGTGCCACGTGGTGTCCGCCAGTGCTAAGGTGGAATCAAAACAAATGATTCCCCCCCGCCCGCCCGTCCGTCCGTCCGTCCGGCAGTGGCTCGCGGTGTCCCGTGGTGTCCCGTTAAGTGAGATCGATAGTTAGATCGATAGTGCGATCGATACTGAGATCGATGTGTTGACCCGAGGTGTCCCGTGGTGTCCCCAAAAAAGAGATCGATAATGATATCGATACTAAGATCGAAAAGTGTCCCGTGGTGTCCCGTGTTGTCACGTTGCGTGAGATCGATAATGAGATCGATAGTGAGATCGATGTGGTGCCCCAAGGTGTCCCGCGGTGTCCCAAAAAGTGGCACTGATAAAGGGATCGTTAAGGAGATCGACAGGTGTCCCGTGGTGTCCCGTGGTGCCCCGTTGAGTGAGATCGATACTGAGACCGATCGTGAAATCGATGTGGTGTCCCGAGCTTTCCCGTGGTGTCCTATGGTGTCCCTTTAAGTGAGATCGATAGTGCGATCGATAGTGAGACCGATAGTGAGATCGAGAGGTGTCCCGCGGTGTCCCGTGGTGTCCCGTTCAATGAGATCGATACTGCGACCGATAGTGAGATCGAGAGGTGTCCCGTGGTGTCCAGTGGTGTCCCGTTGAGTGAGATCGATAGCGAGATCGATTGATTCAGATGTTGGTTCCCCCCCCCCTCTCCCCCCCCCCCCCACAACCTCCTGATCACCCGAAGGGTGGTCGTATAGGTATTATGCTCTGTTGTGTTCTCGACGGGGCGGCGTGACGTCGTGACGCCTGCCACGTTAACGTTAGATACGTCGACCAATCGGTCCTTGCCGCGCCTGTCTGTTCTTGAGGCCAGCTTCGCCTCAGCGCGCACGTGGCGTTTGATCATACGATGGTGCGGTAACTTACATTTAATGTTGGTGTCTTGCGACGCCGTGAACCCGCGGCTGCTAGATTCTATTGTGCTATGGTCTGCTCGATTGGATTCTGCCCCAATGTCATCAATGACACTCTGTTCTGGCTTGTTGTGTTGTGCACGGCGTGGCGTGACGTCGTGCCGCCTGTTACGTTAGATACGTCGTCCAATCGGTCATTGCTGCGCCTGCTTGTTCATGTAACCAGTCTGACCTCAACGCGCATGTGGCGCGCACGTGGCGTTAGATTATACTAAGGTGCGGTCGATGATGTTACGATGGTCATCGTCAGTGGTGACTCGCTCCGTTATGCTTAAGTTCACTTTGCTACTACCAGCTCGAACATAAGCTGGATGAAATGTTCACGTCATGCTCCCTGCTATGGCGTACTGCGTCGACTTTGTTATAGCCAATGAAAGTGTATTATGTTCGTTGCCGTACGCTGGCTGTCGGCTGTAGAACATCAGCTATGTTCCGTGCTGATGGCTAGGTTGAGCCCTGTTCCTTACGCTATGCTACGCGATGTCATAACCGTCTATGCAGTCCGAGGACAATCGTTGCCGTCGTGGTTGTAAGCATACAGCGGTTATGGCATGGTATGTGAAGCACTGCTACACTCGACTCTATTATGCGTTGGCCTGTGATGCAATGTTTTGCTATACTATGCTATGGCTGGTGTTGTGTCGTTTAATGCTCTGTTATGTAATGCTGCTGTATGTTATGACTTGTTATGCCATGTCTGGTTGTCATCGTGCATGGTATGCTGCGCTTTGTCATGCGAGTGCTGTCATGTAAAGGTTTGGTGTGCTATATCACGACGCATGTGGTATGGTATATGATGTTATACGGTGATCTGACATATTATCTGATGTTACTATCGTGTGTACACGTTTATGCTACGCTGTGGTTAGTACGGTATAGATGTATGATTCGCTTAGTCATAGCATGCGTTGTGATGCTATGCTGTGCACTGTTAAATGATGCGTTACTATCAGATGATATGCTCTGTCAGACGTGCAACATGATTGTGGTGTGCCCTGTCATGTTATTGACGGTTATGCTCTTTGATATTAGTTGTATTCTGTCATGCTGAAAAGGCTGGGAGTCTCGAGGGACTCTCGGTGAATCTGGGGATCTGGCGGCAGCGGTATGCAGAGTGGGCGGGGCGGGTCTGGAGGGGCGGGAGTCTGGGGGGACTCGGTGGACCTCGGGATCTGGCGGCCGCGGTATGCAGGGTGGGCGGGCCAGGAGGTCGGCTTCTAAAACCTCTCGACGCCAACCTCAAGTGGGGCATAAGAACTCGGGCAAGTGGGTTATGGGCCGATCTCGGAGCTGAAAACGCAACAAAAATAACTCCCAATGCACACACAACACAACGACCATCAAAACGGAAGCACACGCCCCCTGCGTTTGTTCCAAAGTTGAAGTCCCAGAACCCTCCAGGGATCCATCCCATCAAATATGAATGTTTGACAGCCCTCGGCAAAATGGGTGGAAAAAGCCCTCTGCGTTTGCAGGGGCACTGAGCCTCAGACCCTTCCCCGGCCAAGATCCCCTCCTGAATGCGTCCTTGACAGCCCCTGGGCCCGAGCGCGGTCCAACGGACGCCGAAGGCACGCCGAGGGGCCGCCACGCGGAACCCACGCCGAGAGGCCCACCGTGCGAAGTCGGCGGCAACGCACAGCGCACTCGGAGCCGATCGCGGCCGTGCGCGATCGACGCGCGTGTATCTATAGAGCCCTCCCAAAGACGAGGTCTCGGCGGTGGACAAACCTCCCTTTAGTAAACCTCCCCTTAATGAAAACGGCCTGGGACCGAAAACGACGGACCTGGACCCGCAAAAATGACGACCGCGACGCCCTCTCGCGAACCGAAAAAGGCCAATTCCTCAATCGACGTGTCAGGGTAGAAGGTCTGTCCACCCACGAGTGTATCTATAGAGCCCTCCCAAGACGAGGTCCGTTTAGACAGGGTTGGAGAATCGCGCCGCATCGCCGATGCGTCAGGAGATGCTCTGGCGACGTCGGCGGGGCGTCGGCGCCGTTGAGGTTGAGAAAATCGGACTCCCCCTCGAGCCGCGTCGCCGATGCATTGACGATGCGTCGCGATCCCCCAACACCATCTACGGTCCAGAACTTGTGCTTAGCGTGTCGTGGCGGCATGCCCTATGAACGGATAGCGTGTCGCTCCGCTCCGCGGGGCGGGAGGTAAGGCTCGGGATGTTGACGCTTGGGGGCCGGGAGGTGGATAACTTGTCACGCAGCATCGCGGTGAGCCAGAACCGGCGGAACGACACGCTAAGCCAAAGTTCTTGACCGTAGAAGCCTCCGAAGACGAGGTCTGAGTAGACAGAGTCCGAGAATCGCGCCGTATCGCGGATGCCTCGGAGATGCGTCGGCGATGCTTCGGCGACATCGGTGATACGTCGACGCCGTCGGGGTGGAGAAACTTAGACTCCCCAACGAACCGAATCGCCGATGCATTGACGATGCGGCGAGATCTCCCAACACGCCACATTGCTGTCGGTCTTCAAAGAAACTAGTAAAATACTGGTACCGCTACTCCTCGAACATCTCCAATGCACTCTGGCGAAAATTTCGGGAGACTCCAGCCGTGGCGACGAGGGCCTTCTAGGAAGCCCAAACAGGTGAACACGAGGGAAAGGCAGCATATCGGTACCGTTCCATCAGCTGAAGTCTTCGAACCCATTCCTTCCGCACGCATGTCGATCGTACCGACGCCTTCTACTCCGACCCCATGTGGGAGCCCTGGAGTTTTAGGCATCGTGTAGCCGACCCCTATCCCCATGAACGTGGCCTGGGCCTCACTGGCCGATTGACCCCCTAGTAGACCGTTCCCTCCGGGTTCCGAGGTGTGTGTCCCAAACTGGGGTGCAAGGATGTTGGGGGTCTCTGGATGGGGATGGGGATGGGGATGGGGATTGGTTAGACGATACTCCCCGACCGCACGCAGAGCCGGGCGGCAAGCGCCCACCTCGCAGCAGGACACGCCGTCCAGCGTCGTGTCGAAGCCAGCCGCCTCCCCTCATCCCCCTCCCCCTTCCCCTCCTCCTCCTCCTCCTCCTCCTCCTCCTCCTCCTTCTCCTCCTCCTCCCCCTCTTCCCCCTCCACAATTACTCAATATGAATACTACTCTGATTCTTCCCCCGATGACGGTTTGAAAGTGGCCGACCCCCCCCGCGTACTGTTTCTTTACACACAGGTTTCCCCAGAGTTGGGTGTTCGCCTGAATTGTTTTTCAAAATGCTGCTCTCGCTGAGGCGCCGGCCTCATTTTCGGGCCCCGCTCGTTTCGAATCGTGCTCCCGCTGCAGCGCTGGCCTCATTTCCGTGCTTCCGCTCGTTCCGAATCGTGCTCCCGCTGCATCGCTGGCCTCATTTCCGCGCTTCCGCTCGTTTCGACTCGTGCTCCCGCTGCAGCGCTGGCGTCATTTCCCGTGCCATGCCACGGCATGCAATGCAATGCTAGGTTGATACTACGCTTTGCGGTGCTCTTCTACGCCATGCCATGCCGTGCTCTACAATGCATCGCGTACCCTTTCGGGATCATTGCCCTGCTCGACATCCGACTGTGCGAGTAGAGAGGGGATCTGCGCCATGGTAAGGGATGGGAGGGAGGGGTAGGATGTCAGATATGACGCGAGCGCACCTAGCTTGTCCCCCTCCCCCTCCCCCTCCCCCTCCTCCTCCCCCTCCTCCTCCTCCTCCTCCTCCTCCTCCTCCTCCTCTTCCTCCTCCTCCTCCCCCTCCTCCTCCTCCTCCTCCTCCTCCTCCTCCTCCTCCTCCTCCTCCTCCTCCCCCTCCTCCCCCTCCCCCCGTGCCCGCCCGTCGGTCCCCCCGAGGTCTCCGATCGTGCTTCCCTCGTGCGCGCACGGCGTGGAGGCGTGGATCTGGCGCGATTGGGCGCCAGGCGCGCACATCGGGGGAGGCATGACCAGCAACAGGAGGCCAGTGCTTTTGTCCTCTCGCTCTCTCTCTCTCTCTATCCCTCTCTCTCTCTAAGCTCATGTATCCTTCCTTTTGTTTCTTGGTGTTTGTTTTCTCTCTCTCTCTCTCTCTTTCTCAATCTCCCTCCCTCTCCCTCTCCCTCTCTGGATCTCTTTGCTTGTTCTCTCTCTGTCTCTCTCTCTCTCTCCCCCCTCTCTCTCTCGCTCTCTCCCTCTTCCTCCATTTTTTGCACATGCGGACAGGTATGCCGATTTTTCTAGATTTCAAAATCTGGGACCCTGCGCACGAGACCCTCTCAGATCCTTGGCCCAGGGCGAACCCTGGACGCCCGTGCAGACGGTCCCCTGTGCTTGCCGGGGCTCATGAAGCCCCTGCCGGGCATAGGCAACGGGCCCACATCGGTCAGGAGGGCGACCGAACGGCCCCGCGAGAGCCCACAGAGGCCCCAGACACCCACCAGACACCTAAAGACGACCCGAAGAAGAACCCCACAGGCATTCGAAACGCAAGAAACATTGATGCCCCATGGCTTTTGTATGGTTTTCGGCATGATATGTTCTTCTGTCTTCCGGGCGTCTGAGACCGCCCAAGAAGCCAGATAATCGCCTAACACTTAAACGAGAGGGCTTCTAGGCAGTCCAAGAGGAGCCCCAAGACGGCCCAACAGGGCCCCAAGATGGCCCGACGAGAGCCCCAGCACAGCCCAAGATGGCCCCAAAACGTCTCCCGATTCATCACAAATCGTGACGCGGACGTTCAGAGAGACCGCGGTTGGAAGCAGGGACGCCGCCCGAACATACTTGCCCAGCTCAAAGGGCATCACACTCAGAGGACTGGAAAACAAAGGGCAGTCTTGTTGCCTCGTTCTCTGTCCCTGTGGGCCCTCGCCAGGCCTTGAGGCCGTCAACAGAACGACTCTGGATGAGAAGCCTGCCATGGGTCGGGGGTCTACTGACCCGGGTCAGTCCAAACCCGGGTCAGTCGGGCCTTACAAGATTCTGTGCTATCCTGCAGGGTCCTGCACGACCCTGCACCCAATCCCCGGGTCAGTGCGCTCCTGGCCCTGCAGAATTCCTGCAAGATCTGGCGCTCTGACTGGCCCACGTCTGCAATGACCCCCGTCTCTTGAGCCTCGAATGGGGACATGGCCAGGACTGCTAGGAATCTCGTGTGGGCAACACTCAGGACGCGGCGGCGTGGCCCCGCGCGCCGCCGCGCGGCGGCCCTGCGCGCGGTCCCACGCGTGGCGGGCCGACCCCCAGCCAGGGCGTGCGCCTGTGAACCGGACGAGGGCGCAGGAAGCTGGGTCGGCCCTCGCCGTCCGTCGTCGCCCGTCGTGCTCCTCGTCGTCGACGTCGACGTCGATTTCGGTCTTCGTCGTCGGTCGTCCGTCCGTCCGTACGTCGGTCGTCGTCGAATCCGGTCGTCGTCAACAACGTCGTCGTCGTCGTCGTCGTCGGTCGTCGTCGTCGGTCGTCGTCGTCACCGTCATCGTCGTCGTCGTCGTCGTCGTCGTCGTCGTCGTCGTCGTCGTCGTCGTCGTCGTCGTCGTCGTCGTCGTCACGCAAGCCGCGGCGCGGGCGGGGCGCGGCGCGCGGTTCTCCTCGTGCAGCCCTCGCAAGGCCACCTTCGAGGTGGGGCAGCTCTCTGGCCCCGTGGCCGCGGTGCGCGCGGCGCGGGCCTTCTCGCCCCCGCAGGCGCCACCTGCTGCGTGGAGCCAGCAGCTGCTGCTGCAGGCGTGTCCATCCTTGGAGGGGAACGGGGGGGAAAGCCCAGACACCCTCTCGGCGCGAACGAACTCGCGACGGGGGCTTTGGAAATTAGAGTTTTCGGTGTGCATCCCTGGACTCCAGGGAC